AAATCAGCCGCTTTTCCGAAAAAACTTCCCAGCTGTCTACACTGGCCGCTTGAATTTCCGGAAAAGCACTGACGATCTCATGTAAGATTGTCAGTGCTTTTCCGGAAATACCATGCTGCTCCCGTTCGGGCAAAAGTCTTTTTCCAAAAGACTTTTGCGCAAAAGGGCCAGTGTAGACAGCACAGTACTGTTTTCCGCAAAAAAGCCCCGATCGCGAAAATGGCGATCGGGGCTTTTTTGCAGAAAACCACGTCTAGATTGGCCATGGACGCTTTTCCACAAAAAGTGCTTTTGCGGAAAAGCATCCTGCCAATCTAGACGCGCTTTTCTGAAAATGCTTTTAACGGAAAACTTTTCCATTAAAAGCATTTTCAGAAAATCATGCCAGTGTAGACGTAGCCTTAGGGTTTGAGGGGTCTCCTGAAACATGGAAACCTTCAAAAAAAGGAAACCCAATTGTTTCAAAGAGTTCCTCAGCATGAGATATTACCTGCATAATCCAGAGGCTCAGACACCACCGAGGCCAGGGAAACAGAAGGTCAGATCAAGATAAGCAACTCCAGCTACGTTAATTACATAGCTGGAATCGACGTACCTTGCTTTGAGTTTCCCTGCCATCCCCACAGCAGGTGGCTGCTGGAAGCAAACACTCCCATTGGCTTCCCTTACTCCTCGCAGAAGCAGGAGGACTGCAATTTAGCAGGTCTTAACTAGACCTGTTAAATCAAACTCTGGAAGATCGATTGTGTCAGCATCGATCTTCCGTTTAGTGAAAACATGTCGTAAGGAGAATGAAGTCTGCTCTACAGCCTTAGGGTGCATCTACACAGCACCCTAAACTTGAAATAAGATACACAATTTGCACTATGCAAATTATGTATCTTATTTCGAATCTATTTCAAAATAGCTTATTTTGAAATCTGGCGCATCTACAGAGTGCCAAACTTCGAAATAACGTGCTCTTTTGAGCCATCCCTTATGCAATGAGGTTTACCGGGATGGCGAAACAGCGCGCCCGTTATTTTGAAAAATATTTTGAAATAATGGGCGGCCTGTGTAGACGTAGGGTAGCTATTCGGGATATTTCTGGTATCCCAAACAGCCGTGTAGTATAGCTGTACTCTTAGGGTATGTCTACACTACCGCCCTAGTTCGAACTAGGGTGGTTAACGTAGGCAACCGGAGTTGCAAATGAAGCCCGGGATTTGAATTTCCCGGGCTTCATTTGCATATTGCCGGGTGCTGCCATTTTTAAATGTCCGCTAGTTCAGACTCCGTGCCCGCGGCTACACGTGGCACGAACTAGGTAGTTCGGATTAGGCTTCCTATTCCGAACTACCGTTACTCCTCATGGAATGAGGTGTACCAGTAGTTCGGAATAGGAAGCCTAATCCGAACTACCTAGTTCGTGCCGCGTGTAGCCACGGGCACGGAGTCCGAACTAGCGGACATTTAAAAATGGCGGCACCCGGCAATATGCAAATGAAGCCCAGGAAATTCAAATCCCGGGCTTCATTTGCAACTCCGGTTGCCTACGTTAACCACCCTAGTTCGAACTAGGGTGGTAGTGTAGACATATCCTTAGTTAAGAGCTGGTTGGCTTGTGGCAGACGCTCATGACTTCAGCTGCTTCGGTCCTAGGTTCAGTCCCACTGGCTAATGACCTGGGTTTGTTAGTGTTATACCTGTACATAAAATGCTATCTATAATTCATTGTAATGTATCTTGCCTAGAACAATGGAGTGACTGATGCAACATAAATAATTGCTACACCACGACAACCTACATTCAAAGAACATTATTAAGATTGCAAAAGTCAAGTGCTCAAGATTTAGGAAACGCTAAAATTAAGGATGCCCATGTCAACTTAATTTGGCCTCCTTGTGCTTCTGTATTTTCACTTAAGTGATCACATACTATTCCTCCCCCCCTCGGAGTCCTACCTCCTTCAGTGCAAAGGATGGACTGAATGAACACTAGCCAATATATTGATTGCTCCTCGTTGTCCAATAGGTAGCCCCAGTCTTCTTTACTGCACCCTATTCCAAGCCTGTCTTAATTAATAATACTGTCTTATCTCAGGGGCTTCTCTGGGGTGCTTGTCACTACAGTGCAGGAGTGTGTCAGAAATATTAACTCATGGGCATGTTATTAGCCCCATTTTCCAGAGTAGGAACTCACAGGAATAATTTTAGACACACCTAGGGCCCAGTATTGCAGAGAACTTAGTATTATTTGCAGCACACGATGTGTTCGCAGCACCGCTCCCCTTGACGTCAGTTGTAGTGGTGCGTACTCGGCATTTCTGCCAATCCGACCCCAGGGTCTCAATTCAGGCACCCGGAAAATGAGGACCCAATAGTTCGTGGCCCTCTGTGATCAGGGTGGATTCAGGTGACCTGCCCAGCATCACACCATCTGTGTGACAAAGGCAGGGATAGAATTCAGTTCCCCAGGGCAGCAAACTGAACAAAGTCTGTCACGGGCCTCATATTGACACCCCGTATGATTTATGTCAGTCTGAGATCAGTCCCCTGCAGAAATGATGAAGTGGCTAATTCAAGACTCAATTAATAAAGAACTAAAGCAGGGTCATATAATGAATGGAGATAGATCTTGTCAAACTAACCTGGATGTGACGGGATTACATAGTCAGGTGATGAAGGTAATAGCATTGATGCAATATACTTAGACTTTTGTAAAACGTTTAACTTGCCACCGCACATTTTGATTACAAAACCAGAATGGTACCGACTAAATATGGCCCACGGTGAATGGATTAAAAACTGGCTAACTGATGGATCTCAAATGGGACTGTCTAGGATGAATCATCCTCAAGAGACTTTATTTCTAGTGAGGTCTCAAGGGGATTAGATGTAGGCCCCAATATTTTTATCAGTGATCTGGAAGGAAACATAAAACCATCATTGGTAAAGTTTGCAACTCAGAAATTGGGGGCATAAATAATAAAGAGCACAGGTGTAACCCACACACCTAGTGTGGTTACTGAGCAATACAAGTGGTACCTAGACCACAGCAACAGTTAAGATCAGGAGACCTCTATAGCATAGGCTGCGCAGGTACTGACTTTTAGCTCAGATGGTCGAGGCACCTATACTTAGCTCCAGAGGTCCCAGGTTCAAATCCGCCTGGTGGTGGTTACACAGGCGACTGACAGTGTGATCCGGATTGTTTGGGACGCTGGGCACCAGCAAACAATGAGTTTTGACACAGCTATATAGAAATGTCGACATTTAGGAACAAAAAATGTCGGCCAGACCCAGAGGATTTGGGGTGGGGGATTCTCCCCTGGGAAGGAGTGGCTCTGAAAAAGATGTGGGGGGCACCGGCTCATTTTCACCTCGCTCCTACCATCCCCAGGGGCACGGCAGGGGCAACCCACGGCTGCTTTTCCCTCCACAGCCACCCTTCTACCAAACAGCACAGGGTGCAGGCGTGACCCACAGGGAAAATGGGGCTCTGTCCCCCTCTAGTGGCCACACCACGTCAGAGGTTAATGGCCCTACTACAAGCCTCGCATGCTTTTCACTTGATAGGCCCCGGGCCCACGCCCCAGGTGGGGGAGGGGCTGTCCTTTCCCGATTTCCCCCGGGGGGGGGGGGGGGGGCGGGCGAGCGCCCACGC